ATAATAAAAATAGGTTTTAGGTAACTGAGTGTGGTAAATTTAAACATCATATCATACATCTTAAAGACACACTACAGCCAAATTGTTAGTAATTTCAACAAATGCTACAGTAAAAGCTGTTAACTGTAAGTAGAAACAATACATTTTATATGTACTCTACTGAAATTAATTATATTTTGAAAATTATGTTCTTAATAAGAATTTATAAAGAATAATAAAACAAAACCGGCATCCCATAAGATTACTTTTTTTACAAATATAAATTATGACTTACCTTATATGTTAAAATAACAAAACGACGCTGTACAAAATGGTCATTTTGAAATACAGATAAATAAATAAATACAAATTCAGGTATTTTTCTGGAAACTGCAGCAAGTTTTAACAGTAAATTTAGCAACAATTTAGTTTAAATAGAAATTCTGAAATAACTTATAATTTGTTGAAAATGTATGATTTAACAATACATATTCTTTCATTGAAAAATGTTGCTCAGATATGTTTTAATAAGTATAAAGAATATCAAAATACCATCCTGTAATGCCTGAAATATCCCTATTGTATTTTACAGGAAATCTGTCAAAGACAGCTGGCTGCTTTTAATAACCTTTCAAGAGATTTATATTTTAACATTTAAGGAAATCAAGCAAATCAGCTCTTGATAAAAGTCACGCATGACTAAAAATACATCTTTAGGTGCAGAACTAGAGTTCTGAATGTGATGATTTTTGTCCTCTCTGAATATGACACACATGATCAGCTCATATATTCCCAGCAGACGCTGCACTCATCTCAGGTGCGAATAGAGATGCATTTTAATAATGAACAATGAATAGACTGAATTACTCCAGTTATTCAGGGGGTTTTACATATTGTGAGCTTTGAACAAAGCATCTGATTTAAATTCTGAGGTCAAAAGGAAGTTAAAGAGATAAACCCCATACCTCTCAACACATTTCAGTGCTTCATGGATGCAACTATTATGCAATACTCAAGAACTGTCTGACGGAATGCATCATACATCCACTACATATGCATTCTATAACATATAGATTGAATCCTTTTTGTAGGCTATTATGCATTCAAAATACACTGTAAAGCAGAAAAAGATGCATTAACACGAGTGTCCTCTGTTATCATGCATTTTGATGCAGCAATCATAATGAAAAATCAGTGCATTATATATGCATACAGACTTCGTGAAACGTGATGACATTTCTGAATGATTAATCTAGTCTATAGCCTATTACAAATCACTCAAATGACATGACTGACGCATATATGATTTTATTAATATCAGCACGAGATGATTATTTTGCAATCAAACGCTGCAAAATGCATCACTCAAACACTAATAATGCACTTTAGAAATGCAGAGCCTTGCAAGAAACGGACATAAAAAGTAATTCAAAGCGTAATGCATTATGAAAAATGCTGATGCAGCCCTCAGATCATCATTGCGTTTGAACCTGCACGCGCTGAAGAGTGTTTGGCATCACAGAAGCGCGCCACTCACCTGCACGACACGGTGATCTCAACTTTCGTGGCGGGGATCACCGCCGCGAGCGGCTCGAAATCCGCGAGACTCGCCATGTTCACCAAGCCGCTCATCACTGTGGACATGCTGCCGCCGCCGAGCGAGGTGTGTGTGTGTGTGTGTGTGTGTGTG